GTATCGTTGTCTCTGAATGAATTACAAAGCGAGTTCTTCAGCGATCACTGAACAAGCTCAGTGTATGATCGCTGGAACCGAACGTACAGAAACATAAATACATCGAAAGGAAAAAGGGATTATCATCAAATCACTGAGAGAGAGGATCAACACATATTGGTACCATCGATGGAGACAGCGATTAAACGTCAATCACAGTCCGAATCAGAGTGACACACCGCCTAGTATCGGTGTTTGGATGGTTTCTTTACCTTAATCTGAAAATTTTCATAGACACACTTTAACTCCAATGCGAGCTTCAGTGCTTCCTTCTAGTCAAAGGTTTGGAGAACTTTGACATGGGATGTAGGCTGGTAGAAAAAATTTTCCTGTCTACTTTTGATAACTGGGTCTGGACAAGGTGTTGGGTCAGGCATACCCCAAAAACTATTCCTTATCGGCTGGATTTCTTCAGCATCGGAGTTATCGTCTTCGGGTATGTTCAAAAATTCGGCAGCAACAGAAACATCTTCGGCCATATATCCCTCCCACAAAGGTTTTGACTGTTCAGGAGACCAGATCAGGTACGGGTTGGGAGACTGTATCGGAGACATGTTTAAATCTTGAACCAAATAACTGTCAAGTTGAACGGTATTTTTTGGTTCAAAATATGAATTTCCAGCGGCATCTTAAGGGAAGAAGGTGTTTGGATTTTCACCACTGCCACCACTAGGGAAGAAAGTGTTTTGATTTACACCAAGAACACAACCGGTAGGGAAGAGTGTGCTTGGACCATATAGGTTTGCACCACTACCGTCAGGGAAGAGTGTGCTTGGATTTACACAGATTATACCACCGGGGTAAAAAGTGTTTGGACCCCCCGAGTTTGCACTTGATGGATTTCCACCATAACCACCATCATCGACCACAAAGAGTGTCAACATTTTTGGTAAAATTTGACGAATGGCGTTGTGGAACATTACCACATCGTCGTCGTCGATTAACTGACATAACGAATTCGTTTTATAAAATAAAATGAAAGAAACATGTAAACTTAACTTTTTCGTCACACGTTTAACGACCCCATAACACGTTATTGGCGAAGTCAAACGTAATATACATGTGGGGGAGCTTAACGGAAGGTACTCTAACATACCAATTATCTTTTGGATTAAACCGCCACTTCGAAGATACACGAAAACATCATCGCTTTGACGTGATTTCATGTTTTGTGATGGTTGATTGTGTTTAACGGGTTAAAGATTGTGATGGTTTATTGTGTTGAAGGGTTAAGGGTTGTGAGACTAGAAGTTTTATAAGGGAAAATCAACATTTCTTATAAGAAAAATATATCTGATTTATTTATGCGTTTAAAAAAATTCACGTACAATAGTATTTTTATAAGGTTTACGAGTTGTGAGACTAGAAGTTGTTTTATTTTATATAATAAAACCATGAAAAAAAGGTTAAAAAACAGTTCAAATATCGTCTCATTTTTATTAAAAACACCCCTTAATCATATTAAAAAAAAAAATTCTAGGCCGGATCGCCCCGACTTGTCCGAATCGCCCTCCAAGGGCGATTTGTGTGTGTATTTTTGCAATTTGGCTACAAAATGGTTATTTTGTTAATATATGAGGTATAAAATGGTCATTTTGGTGATTTTCCCTTTTATTTATGTTTGGTGTTTTGATTTATATAGTATAATCTTTGAGCCCATCTTAGAGGTCGTTTACCTAAACACTTACCGGTAAAATTCAATATCATCGCTTACTTAACCGGTAAGATTTTATTCACTAAAACACATCGTATGCAACACTTTATTTTGGTAAGCGCTAACCATGATAAGAGTCATTTGTTCTCACTTACCGGGTAAGACTTTCGATTATTGCATTGGCTCTTACCGGGTAAAATTATTAGCTCTTGCCATATTCATCCGGTAAAATAAAGTGACTTGGTAAGCGTTTACCCAGGTAAGCGTTTGGTAAACGAGGCCTTAATGAAAACCTATCAAATTTAAATAAAAAAAAGGATTTAAGACGATTTATAGTTTTAATATGGGTGTACGAGCCTCTGACATGTAGCTTAGTTGACAAAAGGACGCGACAACTTTATTCAAATATAAGACTATTCCTGTACACCACTCCTCCCCACTGAGTGAGCCAAGAAATACTTCCTCATTTTGATGTTCTTATGAGCAGGTTCTGTATAAGACCGTTGGGATTGCCGACAAACAACTTATTTACATATGGACGTAACAAGGCTTCCAAAAACATTGGAACCGTCCTCCTTATGGAGTGGTGTAGTTACCACCATGAATGATGGCTACTCCTTCAAATACCAAATTACCAAAAGAAATAGTACCAAATTATAACGTTTATATACATACATATATATATATATACATACATATATATATATACATCATATATATATATATATATATATATATATATACACACTCTAGTTTGACAACAAAAGAAGTAAAGATGAAACTCAATAATAAGTAATCTATCACTCGATTTCAATCTTTATACCAGTAATTGTTACATGAACATCATCACACCTTGGCACCAATTTCACCAACACATGTTCATCATCATCACCCACCTCCAAACCCTCCAACAACTCACTTATCCCTAATCTCAACCTGGTCTTTATCACCATCCCACCACCGCCGTCCCTCTGCTTATGTGGCACGTTTACAAAGCTACCGGCAAACTCAGCTTTCTCCGGCCCTCCACCACTCGCCGGCATCTCATCTTCATCATTGATGAATACATCAAACTTCACAAACTCATCTCTCTTGATTTCTATCCCTTCTATCACCAATACTTCTTCTTCCTCCTCCTCCTGATCCCTTTCTTTTTTGGCCGGCCTGGCCACCACCACGGTCACCGGTTTCTCTAAACTCATCGGGAAAGTAGCTTCTGCAGTTGATATTCCGGCCATGTTTTGTAGCTTTTGCTAAAAAGTAGAAAACCCTAGTGATTAATTAGTGCAGAAAGCTTTTCTTTCTATGGGTTCTGCTTTATTTGTTAAATCTTTATCAATTTAATTGATTTATTTATTATTATTGACTTTTAGATGGCATGCTTTTCGTAAGTTACGTGTTTGCTGCTGCCATGTGCCATCGATATCTATACCATACGTATAATCTAGCTTTAAACGGTCATACATTGAAAATTAAAAAGGTATCATCGTCTATATATCATGCTTTATAATTTATATCCCTTGCAAACATAATATTAAAATTAAATTATTTTTAAAATTATAATTTACATTTTATAGTTAGTTATTTAATTATTTTATATCTCTTTCTTTTTTATTTTTTATTTTACACCACTATATTAACTAAAATATATTAAAATAATACGTTTCATTTTTTACAAATTATATCATTATAATTGTCTCATCAATGACTTAGTATGAGCTCAGTATTAAATATTTTTTAATTAATCTCATATTATTAAATAACATAAATACGTAGTAAATTATTTTTACAACTTTCATTTTATACCTTATATTTATCGTATTTAATTTATTTTTTATTTTTTATTTTTTCATTTCTATTTTACATCATTAATTTACAAATTTAAAATGTAGAACACATAACTTTAAATCTCCACATTCCAACATAATATTAAAGATCAAATATTTTTTTATTTTTAAATTACAATTTATACTCTTATAATTTGTTCCATACCACTTACTTTTTTATTTTTTATTTTACATTTTTATCATATTAAAATAAATAATTGTATATGAAATACATTTTTTTATAAATGATATAATTATAATCGTCTCATCAACACCTTTAAAATAAATCAATATTGCATATTTTAAATTTTATTATATTATTAAATATCATAGATATGTAGTGAGTTATTTTTAAAACTTATATTTAATTGTTTATATTTCTTAATTTACACCTATATCTACCTATATTATATTATAAAATATGCTAAACGGTTATTATTTGAATTTTTAAGAGGTATAAATTTTGATCCATTATGTAAAATTTTAAAACTTTTACAAACTCCATATTCAACATGATAATTAAAAATAAAATAAATTGCTTAAACTCATAAAGTAATTTCAATATTCAATACATCATGTCATTTTACATAATTGTATATCGATAAGTTCGTCTTATAGTTTTTTCTTGTTTGAAAAGTATAATATTATGATATTTTTAATGTTTACAAATATTGTTGATCTTTCAAAGATGGAATGAAGATTGAAGTTATCAAAACAAAGTTTTCAAATTCTTTTGAGATTTAAAGATGAACTATTTCTTCAAAAAAAAACTTTATTTGATGGATGATTTTTATAGGCTTCAACCTTCGCATTTCTCATTTAGTTATCAAAATATCATTTTACTTGCAAACAACGCCATAATTTAAAAGGTGAAACATTTTATAAATAAATAATTAATTTTTTATTTATAAGAAAATTTTATATTTAGCTGCATTGCAGTAGGTACAAAACTAGTTATATGATATATATATATATATATATATATAAATTTTATACGGTATTCTAAACACTTTATAAGAATACAAAAAGATTTCAAAATCGTATAATTATATTCTTTTAAATATGTTTAATCATATATATTAATTATACGTTCTTACAAAATATTTAACTTCTCCTTTAAAATTAACCCTTATATATAATATAATTTAATAAAATATTTAATTGTTGATTAGTAAGAAAATAAAAATCAAAATAAAAATCAAAAAATAACAATTTTTGAAAAAGACAGAAATAAAAAAAGATTGTGGGATAGCAGGTGCAAAGAACGTGCGTGCACACCGTTTGAAGTGTTTTGTTGAACTTATTTATATCTATACTACTTTATTAAACATTTTCCTTCAAAGTCTTAAAGTCTTAAGTTTATAAATACCCAAAATACCCCTTTACCCTTACCTTTACCCTTAACCTTTACCTTGCTTTACCTATCTAATAATTACCTCCCCCTTCACCTCTACTTTCCTTTACCTATTACCGGCTCCCCTCCCCCTTCACCTATCTAATAATGATCCCCAAACCACCATACGTCGCTTCGATTTACACCACTACCAAAATTACCCTCTTTTCCGGCGGACAAATCCGTCGGAAATCCGCCGGAAATAGGGTTTTCCGGCGGATTTCCGGCGGATTTGTCCTCCGGAAAAGAGGGCGCCGCTGATTTTTTTTCCGTCGAGTTTTCCGGCGGATTTTTCACTTTTCCGGCGGACTACGGCCGCCGGAAATCTTTCGCCGGAAAAATTAAGAAACTTGGTTTACCTTAATTAAAAAAACTTAAAACTTTTCCGGCGGATTTTTCCGCCGGAAATCAGCCGGAGTATTGTCTCGCCGGAAAAACTTAATTAAATAAGATTTCCAAAAAAAAAATAAAAAATTACCGGCGGCCAAATCCGCCGGAAATCCGCCGATTTTTTTTTTCTTTTTTTAAAAATTTAAATAAAAATTTTCAAAAAAAATTAAAAATTTACCGGCGGCCAATTCCGCCAGAAATCCGCCGGTAATATTTTTTTTCTTTCTTTTTAAATTTAAATAAAAATTTTCAAAAAAAAATTTTAAAAATTTTCCGGCGGCCAAATCTGCCGGTAATATATATTTTTTTTTAAATTTTATTTTTTTTATTTTTTTCAGTAAATATTTAAATCCTGTAAATCTGTAAAAATATGGATAAAAGTAAAATGCAACTAAATATCATACATTGATTAAAATAAACAATTGTTACAAAACATACAATTTATAGTATCACACAATGTTACAAACAAACTAGATTGTTCCAAATAAATAAACAATATTCAATTAGATGGCGGTGGGAATTGTGATTGACGGAGTTCGTTAACCAAAGCAGTCATATCCTGCATTTGTTTCAGAAGTTGCTCCTCTACCGTCCGTCGACGCTCATTTTCTTCTTGTAAATCTATAACTTTGGCCTCTAAGTTTACAATTTTCTATAAAAATAAATAAAACGTTAGAATGTTTAAATTTAATATGAATTATAAACTAGATCGATAAACATCATCAAAAGAAAAAACACATACCCGTTGTTCCGAAGACGATGAAGCAGCTTCCGTGTAGTTGCCGGTCAAGACACAATTGGGATCTTGGTTGTACCCAAACCCAAATAAACAACCTTTTTTGCTTCCCCCAACCGCTTA